CCACACGCCCCTGCTACACAAGGAAAACAACTGTGAAGCTAAAACAACCCGAAAGGATCCCTATGATTCCAAGGGTTACACACACACACACGCATTGACATAGAAAGTCTAAGAGTCTGTTTGGGCTGTCTGAACGCCTAAAGGGCGCCTCCTTGTGATTCGATGTGTCGCTCCTAATGCACCTCGCGTGATCTTTTGTGAAGGTTCTGCAGGTGATGCGGGAAGCTGATCTCTATGATGATGTAATGAAGAAGCCCAGTGGCGTTGCGACTGCGGCCAGCGAACTCAGTGGAGGCCGCGAAGTGAATCCGAAATGGTTGCGTTCTGAGTGAGACAGGGCTTTAGATGCGGAACCTGGGCAGTTCAGAACCATGGGAAGAACCAGAACGGTAAGAGAAAAAAAAGAAATGGAACAGATACCGCTGCGGTGTCTGGTCGGGCGCTGTCAAGCCCAAAGCCTCACACCGCCTCACCCCACTGCCTCTTCTCAGCATGCCGCCTTCACGGTGAAGGCGGCCTTCCGGACTTCCGGAAGTGGCGGCCCCGACTCCTGTAGGTCAGAAGCAGCGGCTCTCCATCGCCCGCGCCCTGCTGCGGAACCCGAAGATTCTGCTGCTTGACGAAGCGACCTCGGCACTGGACACCGTCTCCGAGCGGAAGGCGGAGACCGGTCGCCGGCGGCGGGGGTCGGGACCGGTGGTGTTGGGTTGGTCCGGGGTTGATACGAAGCGGAGAAGGTGATGCTTGGAGATCTCTTTGGGTGATTTCTATTGTGATTCTATTGTGTCTCTGACATGTGTGGATTGAATAAGGGCCCTTGAACAATTTTGATTAAATTTGCAGATATAGGTCAACAGAAGCATTCCCACTCTCAGACACGTGTGTTTCCTGAGCAGAGTGACCTTGACTGGCAGAAAATGGCAGAATTCCGAGAGTTCGTTATTCTTTTTTCTGTGGCTCTTTCGCCCAGTCAGTCTCACTGCTGCAGTGTGTTGGCTGAACTCGCAAATCAGAAACCTTCACCGTTCAAATGTTTATTCATCAATCACTTGTACTACGATACGAAACGAAAAAACACACGAAACGAATGACTAGTTGCATGGCCCAGAGGTACCGAACGCTTGATCCACTGAGTCGAAGCAAGTTTCCTCTCTTGAAGCATGTGCGACTTGAACCTGATGTCCATTTGGTTGCCTTTTGTTGCTGTTTTTTTCTGGGAAGGTTCAGAAGGCCTTGGAAAAGCTGATGAAGGGCAGGACTTCGGTTTGGATGTCCGCAGGGAATCGAGTCAGTTCAGGGAATCTTTTTCCATGGGGTGAGTGGGGTGTCTCCAAGGCATGGTGTCCCCAAACCGTGCGTGGAAAGCCGATGCCTTGGGTTCTGCATTCCAGCGACCTTCCCACGGCTTCCAGGACGGTGATCGCCATCGCGCATCGGCTCTCAACGATCGTCTGAACCTGAGCCGAGACGCCAGGGCATGGAGTGGAGTCCGCGGCGGAAAACCATGCAGATGGCAGACGGACCATAAGAACACGGGGGGGATTTTTGCTTCACCAGACGGTTGTCGGTTTGAGAGTGTTCCTTTCCCGACATGCGGTGGGGCGTGAAGGTGTCCAAAGCCAAATCCACGGAGGCAACAAAGGTTGAAAGGCGGAGCGGGCAACAAATCCCACCGGCATCCCCTGCTGAAAGGTAGGGCTTTTGAACTTCTCAGAGTTGATAGTTCGGTTGTGCTGCCTGGGGCAGTGCTGCCAGTCATGTCCAGTTAATTTTTTGTATTCTTTTTTCTGTCTTGTGCGGCCAAGATGAATGCGGACTTGATCCTTGTAATGGAGGTGTGGCACAGCTACGATTGGCTCGATTGTTTGTCGTTGCACAATGTTGCACAAAAAAAAGCATTTGGCAGTCAGACTTGAACAGGTGCATGTGATGTCTGCGGTTGTGTGGCACTAGAAAGAAGCCAGGCTGGAAAGGTCATTGAGCAGGGCACGCACACCGAGTTGCTGAAGAAAAGTGGCAGCAAATATGCGAATCTGGTGCAGCAGCAGCTGGCCGTGGAGGACAAAAAGGACGACACCTCGGCCGATCCGAAGGTGGCAGTCGCCGGAGAGAGGTCGAAAGGGTACGTCGTGGCGGATGGAACGGCAGGTGTTTGAACGTCACCGGTTGGGTGGCCGAAAGCCCTCCGACCCGACGTACTGAAGACATATATATACATATATACATAATTATACATACATATCGACCCGTCGACCGATTGGCTGGGAGGCAACCTATTAGAAAAGCAACACCTATACCTAGATCTGCGTATGAGGCACTTTTTTCGTCCACCAGGTGGATCTTGGATGATCTAGGTATCGTGAGGTTTGGTCCATTGTTGCTTCGCCCAGCTGCACGACGCCTCTCGACTCTTCGACTCTTGGATATCCATGTCCGCAGGTGGTGGAGGAGTGTGCAGCCCAGTTACAGCTGCTTCGAGAGAAGGTGCCCGAGGATCTGGTCGAAGAGGCCCCTGTCGAGCGCCAGCGCTGGGGAGCGTCCGACCGACCCTTTCCTGAAGAATTGTGACAAGTGACAAAGTCAATGGGTCCTGAACACTTCCTCAGCTGCTGGTTGTGGCTTTTGAGAAGTCTGGTCGTGTTGTTTCTCCGACATTCTGTGACTGAAACTGACCCCTTTTCCGCCAGCCGTTCGATGTGTTTCCTCAAGCAAATCCAGCACGAATGAGTGAAGCAGACCCCTCGACTGACCCCATGCAGACTGCCAGACCAGCCAGAACATATCCCTGTGTGACCGAGGAATGCTGCTGTTGGCCGTTGTTGATGTAGACTTGTTGACACTTGTTTATTTTCAACCCCCCACACGGACCAATGGAGAGGCTTTACAATCCATGTATGCATTTTTATTGATCAACAGTCTACAGTCTACATCACTTGTTCATTTTGCAGGTGGACCGAGCAGCACAAGCTCTGAAGAATGCCGCTGCAACGCTGCGGGAAGAGAGAAAGCGCCTGGCCATGAAGGCATCGGAGTTGGCTCTGCCATGCCCAAATTCACCTGGTTTGGCTGGGAAGTGCCTCGTGGGTCAAGTCTGCAAGTAAGTTCTCAGGGTAACTAATCATTGATTTATATATTTTTATATGAACTACCGAGACTCATGCTGCATAGATCTTGTTGGGACAGGCTGGCTGCAACAGAGAATCAACATGTCATTCAACAAGGTTCAAGACCTGTCTACGAGGAACTGGCAGGTTTTGTTGCATTTTCATGAAAACATGTGCTTCATCAACCTGTCCTTCCATGCCTTCGCACGGCAGGAGCGCAGTCTCCTGGGCACTACCTCCAAGTGGAAAACGGCCGGTGCGACCCACCCGACCCGGAACTCGCTCGCTCGTGCTCGCCCGCGCCGGGACGGAGAGGTCAGTTGAGTGGTGTGAAACGTAGGAAAGACCAGACCAAGAATCCATGACCTACTTTCCTACGTTGGGGTGTTCTTCATGAATCCTTGAGTTGGTTGCAAACCATGAAGAACACCTGATGAACCGTCTACGGGACATAGACCATTTCGCGGCCGCGCGTGTTTATTTTGATTCGCCGCCGACCAGGTGATTCGGTGCGGCGAGCTGTGCGCACTCTGGCGCTGATGCGTTCCTCCAGTGAGGTGCGCGAAGCAGTGAGGGACCTGACAGAGGTGGCCTCGGCATTTGGGGGCCGAGAAGACGTAGAGTGACCCACCGGGACCCTTGGCCACTTAGAGCGACTCCTTCGGGACCGTTCCCATCGCGGGTGTGCGGTGCGAAGACCAGCGAAGACCCTGAAGGAATGCGCACGATAGATCGAGCGATTGGGTGTCCTACGTCCTCACCACCACTTGGTTTTGCCAGCTCTTTCGCGGTGCCCGCCAGCTGGTCAATGGTCTCTCCAGGCCCTTCCAAGACCGCAAGCGCCGCAGCTTCAACGTCGTTTGTCGGCGAATGACCAGGAGCGTTGCCAAAGAAACACGTGTACAGATTGCGGCATTCTTAGAAGAAAGCAGGACCAACATTTGACAAATTTCTTACATGCCGTGGTCCATAGTACACACTCGTATGCCAATTGAGTGATGTCGGGTGGGGCCAAAACTCCAAGTTCGGTGGCACCGGGGACCGCGCGCCACCGCGCCCATTTCAGGATGACGTGGACCGCGCACTGCTGGAACTGGAGCAAGGTGCCTGGTCGGCCACCACCTTTTGGGTGCCCTAGGCTGGAAAACACCCTAGCCGAAAAAGACCATTATATAAATGAATGAGTGACCTGGTTCTTGTAGTCTAACATCCTTAGTACAGTGCTAAAGTAATGGTTCGACCCGGTCAAGACCATCGATGGTGGGCCAGAAATCCCAGGATGTATACACATCGGCCTCCATTTGCCTCCAGGTGATAGTCCAAAAGCTGAAGCTGCCACCTGAGCGCAGCCAGCCGTCCCACGGCCGGTCGATGCGATCAGCCCGCTGTACATAGCCCGTTGAGCACGTCCCAACACAGATCTGAAAGCTTCCTGTTGCCTGCGGGGATCATCTAGTGTGGTTGGTGTCGCACAACCTGTGGCCTCAGCTTTGATAGTCTAAATATCACGAACTTGTTGGCCGTGGTGGTGGACCATGCTCGAATTACCATACAAGTTGAGTCATGAGATGAATTGAGCATCTCCAGTCGACTCAACTCAAACAGGCAAATGGCAGCTGCGGAGCAATCGCTTTATGCCTAGTAAAAGTCATCAAAATAATCCACGGTGCAGATGGCTGAAGCTGAGAATTCTCACATGGGCCCTCCCGTCGTAAATTATTCCAGGGTGGGGTCACCTCCAGGAATAATTTTTCAGAATATTTTTTTTTTCGGAATATTAAAAACAACATGTTGGTGTTGGTGTGGGTCGATGGTACCGTGGAATAATAAAATAGGAATGTGAAGATACCCTGGAATAATATTTGGTCGAATGTGAAGGTACCCTGTACCCTGGAATAATATTTGGTCGGTTTCTGGTGGGCAAAAACTAGTAAGGCTTCTGGTGAGGGGTTGGTATCTTTGGGTTGGTTCTAGCAGCACAAATACTAATAAAGCTTGTGGTGCGCAGGCCTTGCCTGTACTACATGTTTGCCATAAAACAGAAATTGCCTCCCTCATGTGTCTATTGGTTTCTATGAATCACCCTTAGAGGTTTTCTGGAAACCATGTGTAGTGGGGTGAGGTTCTTGAGTGCATGGCCATTAAACACAGGGGGTAGCCCAGTACGGAAAGCAGCTGACAAGCAGGAAAAGATAAAAGACCTGAGACGTATGAAAAGTGGAAGCGATGAACTCGTAGCCTTGTAGATGGGTTGGAAAGCTCGGAGCTCCCCGGTTGGTATTTTGGGTTAGTCATAGGAGCCTAGGAGCACAAATGCTAGTAACTAGGGTTGGAAAGCTTGGTAAGGTTGGATGTTTTGGGTTTGTTTCTTCTTTCCAGCAACAGACAGGGCAGGTGATATTATGCCAGGCCCCCACCAGAACAGAACCACCCCTGGAATAGTTTTATCTTGCGCAGCAAAAAGGGAGCAGAATGCAAATTACTAGTAATTAAGTCTTCTGGTATGGATTGGGAAAGCTTGAGGTTTGGGTTAGGTATAGAGGCAAACAGGGGAGGTGATATTATTCTACGCCCCTACCAGAACTGAACCACCCCTGGAATAATTTCTGGTGGTTATGGAGATTGTGTACAGGAGGGCAAAAACTAGCAAGGCTTCTGGTGAGGGGTTGGTATCTTTGGGTTGGTTCTAGCAGCGCAAATACTAATAAAGCTTGTGGTGCGCAGGCCTTGCCTGTACTACATGTTTGCCATAAAACAGAAATTGCCTCCCTCATGTGTCTGTTGGTTTCTATGAATCACCCTTAGACGTTTTCTGGAAAGCATGTGTAGTGGGGTGAGGTTCTTGAGTGCATGGCCATTAAACACAGGGGCTGACAAGCAGGAAAAGATAAAAGAGCTGAGACGTATGAAAAGTGGAAGCGGTGAACTCGTAGCCTTGTAGATGGGTTGGAAAGCTCGGAGCTCCCCGGTTGGTATTTTGGGTTAGTCTTAGGAGCCTAGGAGCATAAATACTAGTAACTAGGGTTGGAGAGCTTGGTAAGGATTGATATTTTGGGTTGGTTTCTTCTTTCCAGCAACAGACAGGGCAGGTGATATTATGCCAGGCCCCCACCAGAACAGAACCACCCCTGGAATAATTTTTTCTTGCGCAGGGAATAGGGAGCAGAATGCAAATTACTAGTAATTAAGTCTTCTGGTATGGGTTGGGAAAGCTTGAGGTTTAAGGGCTTTGTCATGGGTTTTGGGTGATGCATAGTGGCAGGCAGGGTTAGGTATAGAGGCAAACAGGGGAGGTGATATTATTCTAGGCCCCTATCAGAACTGAACCACCCCTGGAATAATTTCTGGTGGTTATGGAGATTATATACAGGAGGCAAAAACTAGTAAGGCTTCTGGTGAGGAGTTGGTATCTTTGGGTTAGTTCTAGCAGCGCAAGTACTAGTAAAGCTTGTGGTGTGCAGGCCTTGCCTTTACTACATGTTTGCCATAAAAAGAAACTGCCTCCCTCAGGATGCCATATAGACTGCATGTTGGAAGTTGCTTTACACTATTCCTGACTGACAACTCTTCACATATGGAATAATTTTTGGCAACCATTAGGTCCTACAAACGGGAATATTAACAAACATATTCTGGGGCCCCATCCACCCCAGGGCCCCAGATGGGAGGCCCCATATTCTGACCGTAGAACAGCATGCATTGTAGCCCAGCACCATCACAGATCCTTCCGTGCCCCTTCGGCCCAAAACCTTCGACAGGACCCTTGAGCCTTCCCTTTTTGAAAAGGGGCGTGTTGCGAGTCTCCGCACTTCATGGTAGCGGAGCCACGCGACTTCATCTTCCTCGTTGACGAGGCATTCGACGGCAACTGTGACTTTGGGTTGAGCCCTTGGACCTGCTTTTGTTCTTTTCTCCTTCCAACCTCACTGCTTGGCCTTGGCCTGAACGTGGTCTACTACAAGACCCAATTCTCCTTGCGGCGAGCTACGCCAGAACTTCTTGGTCTTGAACTTCAATAAGCTCTTCACCTACGTGGTGGAGCCCTTCCAGTACCAGAATGTCTGGGAATGGCGCTCAGCGCACTTGGCGTGGTGGAATTGGAGCAACATCAACCAGGATGACTGGCGGTGGCTACCTGGAACATCGACGACTGTTGCAGGCTTCACGAAATGGCGGTGGCTATGACCGTCCTTAGCAGACTCCTGATGTGGTGCTCAGGATCATCCCGATTGATCCTGCCTGTGGCATTTGGATGAGCATTGCTGATGCTAGCGTGGCCAACGTCGACAATAAGTCCCAAGGAGGTTTCATCATGGCCATGGCTGACCGAAGCATCTTGGACGGTCAGAAAGCAGCATTCAGCATCAACTCATGGAAAAGCCACAGGTTGAAGAGGGTGGTCAAGGCGACACTTGGTTCGGAAGCCTTGGCAATGGACGATGCGCTGGCCGAGATTGAATGGCTCTGGCATGAAGTGATGGACCCGGCTTCGACCGTGATGGATGGTTCGAGGTTGGGCAATGAGGACTCCATCCTGGTGGTTCGACTTCCCGAAGAAGCCGAAGATGTTCGATCCATCAGGATCAATGACCGTGCTACAGGAGCACATGTGACAGATGCAAAAGCGCTCTTCGACCTTTTGGCCCGCAGGAGCACGACCGCCGGGCCCAGATCGACGTGGCGGTGATCCACGTGGCGGTGATCCACGTTTCGGCAGCTGCTCTGAGAGTGAAGGCGTTTTGGGTCCCCGGCTCACAGATGCTGGCAGATCCGCTCACTAAGCGTTTGGGCAATTCAGCCCTCCTTCGAAAGGCGATGGCAGAAGCAACCTTCGCCTTGGTGCGGCAGGAAACGTGATGGCGCTGGAATCTCTCCCTGAAGGATGTAGAACAGCATGCATTGTAGCCCAGCACCATCACAGATCCTTCCGTGCCCCTTCGGCCCAAAACCTTCGACAGGGCCCTTGAGCCTTCCCTTTGTGAAAAGGGGCGTGTTGCGAGTCGCGGCACTTCACTGAAATATTTATGATCTCTTACGTCTTTTTGACCCCAACACCCAATTTCATGTTTGATATCTTAGTTGCCTGAAATCCAATGGTTTTGCGCCGAAGACCCCTAAGAGCTTGGATTGGACAAGAAAAGAAGGCATGAAAGCAGAGACAAAAACCTCCTCACCTTTTTGTGGCTGAAAGAGGAGAAGGGGATACCTAAAGCACTTCTCACTGGTCTCAAATAAAAAAGTACCCGAGACTGTCCCAAAAACACAGAGATTCAGTTTGGAAGATGTATTCCCTGCCCATGCACTGGTGCCGGTGCCTTCTCGACAGATCTGTGGAGTCGGTTTGGGGGCTTTGTTGGTTGGCCGAAGGGGAGAGCTGAACTCCCCCTCCCGGAATGTAGGGGAGTTCTGCTCAATCGGCATCGCATCTCAGCACTATCTCAGATCATTTCAGAGCGTCCGAACTCATTGGACATCTGCACACGACCTGCGCAGGGTTTCGCAGCTTAGAGGTTCTGGAACTTGGGTCACCGCCGTTCATCTGGTTGAACCTGATCTGTCACCGTGGTTTTTCTCACCCAGACTCTTCCTCACCCAGACCCAGACTCGGTCATGTTCTTTCCAGGAAAGGAGGTCCCTTTTGTGGAGTCTTTTTCTCTTCCGTGATTTTGCCTTTTGCGAGTGTTCTTTTGGTAATGTGATGCCCCACAATGGCATCAAAAGGTCGCAGAGGAGTTTCGTGTTTGTTTCCGAAATTCTGAATTCTGTCCCTCCGGAGTTTTGGATCAAAGGGGGGATGAGAGAAGACACCGTCTGACCATGGCGTGGATCCTTGCCATTGTCCTCCTGGGTGTTGCTGCAGATGGCGCGGCGACCTTCACCACCAGGCACGGTTTACCAACGCACATTGCGGGTCCGGCGGTTCCTGCAGCTTGTAGTTGAGCAGAGCCATCACTGACCACTTCTAAAAGCCACCAGCATCCACCACCATCCATCACTTCTAGCTTTTGAAGCCTTGAGCAGCCCTCAAATCACTTCAGCCACCCCTTGAGCCGCCCTCCACTCCGATCTGCAGGACAGAGCTCAAAGCTGCCGTGAACGATTGGTCCGCAGCCAACGAAACCGAACGGCAGCACTTGCGAATCCGCTGGGGCGACATCTCCACGTGGAACGTCTCTCTGGTGACCAACTTCAGTGGGCTCTTCCAAGGCAACCTCATGATACCTCATGATACCTCATGGTTCTTCAAGTCTTCAGGCTGAGTCCGCACGAATTCCCAATTCGCTGAGATGCGCTGCTGAGATCCGCTGTTCCGTCCGATCGCGCCGCGCGCTTCACCGGAGAGGCCTCGACGGCTTCAACGAGGCGGTCGGCGCCTGGGAGACCTCCGCGGTGCTGGACATGAGCAGCTCGACATCGTCCGAAGGGTTCGGTGGAAATGTGGTGCTGAGGTGAGTCGCGGCCTGTGGAGGTTCAAGAGCTGGAGCTGTAGACGTTTTCAACATCTTTCAACCACTTGAGGAAGTTGGGGGGGCCCCTTCAGTCGTTGGAGCGTTCACGGATTTTTTTCGCGTTTGAAGAAGTTATTTGATGACGGACATGTGACATGTGACATGTGACATGTGACATGTTCATGCTTCATCCTGTTTCACCACTTCCCGAATGCAACTAGATATGGCCCAGGCAAACCTTTGCAACCTCAAAGCCTTTAAGGTGTTTGCCCACCAAGTGGAACAGTGGAAGGCATCGGACTCGTTTATACAGAGGTGTCTTGCCCCACGCTGTTTGAGGCCACGCCTTCCATGGAGCTAAGTCCTTCAACCAACCGCTGATGTGGAACACCTCCAACGTGCGGTATATGCACTACATGTTCGCCAATGCTTCTGCATTCAACCAGGCGGCGGTTTTGGGCAATGGGCATGTTGGAACAGGAAAAACAGGGGCTGGCATGGATGGAGAAGCCATAAGGGCGAAGGTCGGACATCAGACTCCCTAGTTTCCATTTTGTGTCTCAAACTTTGAATAACATTGGTGGCAACTTTTTGGGGCAATGATGACAAGTCACAATGAATCACGAATATTTGCTTTCACACATACTTTAACAGATCACCTCGAGTCAAAGCATAATTTACGCTATGAAATAGTCTCGGATAATCCAGGAGTCGGGACCAGGTCAGCTAGAAGCAGCTCTTGGCGCGGGAACGCAAGTCGTGCACAGATGCAGAAATGTGCCATACTGGATGATTTAAGTTAGCGTGAGGTGAGTGAGAAACACCTCTAGGACGAGCTATAGCCAATGATTTGCACTGTGCACTTCTTTCATTTTCGATGTTGGGCTAGCCAAGGATTCGATTCGATCAGTGTATTCCATGGATAGATGGAACACATGTGCTCCATGAAGTTCACATGAATTAGATGTTCTGGGGTGCTGTTGTTTTCAACCAAGCCTGTGGGTTCAGGCCTCAAAACTCGAGGAAAGCTACCTTACCGGGGCGAGAGTAAACAAGAACAATAAAAATTCTTGGGACTGCCAATTTTATACAGAGTTCCTCCCAGTTTTTGTTCTGATACGGACATGTCTTTTTCTCCCATTTGTGAGGCCGTGGGCTCCTCGGACACCTCGAAGGTGACCACGATGGAGAGCATGTTCGACGGAGCCAGGAGCTTCAACCAGTCCCTGGACAAGTGGAACACTTCCTCCGTTGTGAACATGAGGTACATGTTCCACAATGCGGTTGCATTCAACCAGGCCTGGGCAGACAAGGTGTCAGCGTGAGCTTACATGTCAACCCTGCCAGCTTTCTGATCACGGAGCTGATCAGCCTTGTTGTTGGCATGCCAAGCCCACTCATCGTCAGGGTCAAGTGCAAGAAAAGCTTCAAGTTTGAGATGGGACTTGGTTTTATACAACTGGATAACCCGACTTTTATGTTGCACGGTGGCAGCCCACAAGTCCCCATGGCTATGCCGGCAAACAGAACCAAAAGACAAATGCCTCCAACCTTACACCACAAATTTGGCACCAACAACAACCCACAGGGGTCCATGCGTGCGCTGCAACAGTTCAACAAACGCAGTTAACCCAGCCCTGGCCCACAGGGTTTGGCCCTAGCTTCGCCACCTGTTGACATGTTTTGTGACTGCTGCGCATGCACTGTGGTAAGTTCTTTGCCATCATGTGAAGTCTCTGGAGGTGCTGCTTCAGCTGGTGTTGCAGGCTGCTGCGATTGCTGCAAGCTTGCTGGCCATGTTGGGCTTGCTGTCGCTGCTGCTGCTGCTGCAAGCTGCTTGTAGGGAAGCTGCAGTTGCTGGTGTGCATACTCCCAAATCTCTAGCCCGCATAGGTCTTCTGCTCCAAATGTCCATTCAATCTCATGACCTATTTCATCCAGCGTAGCCTTGCAAAACGATTCATAGCCTGGACGGGAAGGTGCTTCTGACAGGAGCTTTTCAACCTGCTGGTTGTCCAGCTTCATCAGTTTGTCAGTAGTTGCCTCTTCCAAATGACCAAACCTTTTGAACATTTCTTGGAGCGTCATCTCTGAACCAGAAACCTGGGTAGTTGATCCGGTTGCCTTTGCAGCTGCGGTTGCTGCTGCTGTGGCTGGAGCTGGA